TCGTATAGTGTATAGTGGTCTTAAGTAGTTTTTCCGTTCCCTATAGCTACTTTAAAGTAAGGTAGCGATGAACGGTTTACCCTAAAACACAAAGTTCTGAAGTGTCTATATGTTCATGTTGATCGGATTCGGTTTGTCATACATATTCTTCCTGTAGTTTATTCATGTTGTTATCCTCTGCTATCTGGCCATATCCTTCTTCTGAGCGGCTTCTTCTATATCTTGCTGTGCTGCGGTACCTATGTCGATGTAAATTTGGATTTACCTTGGCATTTCGCTAACATTTTGAACATTAGCTGTGCTGAGTGGTCTTTTCCCTGCATTGTCATTGTTTCTCGGTTTCTATGACGCGATCGGATGGACTCCATAAGTACTGGTTTTGGTTGTGGTCGTGGGGGAATGTTTGGTGCGTAAACTCGTAAGGTGCAACCTGTTTTGCGAAAGTCTGGTACAATGGTCTAGGCTGGTTAAACTGGGAAAGTGGAGTTTTCCCAATTGTGGGTGTTATTTGCGAATGACTATTTGCCTTGCTTCGTGAATACTAATTGGTAAGGTTTCAAGGGTTTAGGAGGTAATAATGATAATTTTTGGAAGCTTTTTTTATCCTTTATGGTGGAGCGCCAGTTTGTTGACATTGATTTCCTCAGGGCATAATCGAGGATGCCAATCAAGGGAAACACAAAACCGACTTTGGCGCTAGGGAAATAAGCCAAAGCCAACCAATCCAATCCGCTATCGGTCAGCGCTAAGCCAGCGTGCAAGTCCGAAAGAAAGAACTGCCTCAGCGCCTCCTGAAGAAAGAGATCTTCCATCGACAAGTTCGAAGACCACACCTTGAACTGTCAATTCCCAACCATTGGTGAATGCACCTAGCAAATCTTCTCTTGCAGTAAATCCAGAGAATCCCTCCACTTTCAGAACTGAGTTCCTAAGGGTGACATGCGCAAGTAGAAAATGGCATCCTCAGGCAACCCAACGACCGCAACCCAGCCAACGGCCTCGCTTACGAATTACGGTTTCACTTCGGCGTGGGAAGCGCTGTAAGACCGTTTCCAAAATAAACGACTTCTAGTAAACAACCAACTTAAGCTCCTTTTTAACTTGAGCTCCATATCGCAAGAGTCTGGTCAGGCTCTAACGGAGCTGACCACGATGCAATGGTGTTCAACAACGTTATCACATTCCCATATATCTACTGACAACTGAGATTGTCTGCTGACCTTATAGTGCGCAAGTCATACATATATGAGAACAAATGAACTATGGGAAGAAATGACTCGGAAAGAAGAAATGACGTTAATCGACTCGGGATACGAGGCGACGTACATTTCCGACTGCCTTTTCAAGAGAGGTATAGACGATGCAAACAATTTGCAGCAAGTTGATTACTGCAATCAAATTTGCACGTAGAAACACGAGTAAAAAAATTTTGCTGCAAACAAAGAAATTGCAAAGATTTTTTTCAGCAATATTTTTTTCTTATCGTCCGTATACATTTTTTTTACCGCTATCTTGGTTGCATCAGTTGCTTGCTTGTTTGCATGTGCTGTTTGCTTTCAGTCGCAGTATTGCAGCAAGCAAAGCACCATGTGGGATCTCGAGAACACAATAAGATTAATTGAATTGTATGAGAATCATTCCGTGGCTAAAAAACGCAATGTTAGGGCTAATCGCTCATTTGGTGGAATCGCAGAACGCATTACAGTGTCTTGTTTAGTTATGTTGTTTTTTACTTTTTCTAATAAAAAGTTGAAATCACTGACTGACATGCGAAAAAAATTGTAATAGTTTGTTTCATTGCCATTTAGTAGCTCTTTTAAAAGGTTTTGATGTACTCCTTTTTCATCTCTTTTCGAAATCCACTCTTTCACCCCACATTTTATTTTTTGAAGATTTCAATCTTCTCACTTTTTTACGTTTAATTAAAGATACTAATATAGTAACAGCAGCAACTCTCGATACTTGTTCCAAAATAATATTAACATGTCGTTTTCCTTGATTTTCATACAACAAGCAAGCACTGCAAACAAAAAATAAAAACACGTGTAGACATTAACGCAATATATTGCACGAAATAGCCATGCAAATGTTTGGGTGCAAAACAAAAATTTATTGAAGCAAGACATTTTCTTGCAATATTTGCATAGGTGTAAACATTTGAGCAAACTTTTGCTGCAAATTAAGTTGCCAATTCCGCAACATTAAGACCCAAGTCTCCGGGCTAAACCAATCGGTTTTGACAAAGTCGACGAGACAAACCGGGTCTTCAACTAGACGTTCTTCCGGAATTAGCGAGCAAACTGCCCTCGCATTCAATTTCGAGAAATTCCCTGAAGGACCTGCCCGATCTCCAATGGGCGGACCCCAGTTTCTTTGAAAGTTCCCAGATCGACATCCTAATCGGATGCGGCTCACTTCTAGGCTAAGAAACCATCTTTGGGTGGGTGCTTACGGGGCCGATCTCCAATATGAAGCCCATGAGAGTCACATCCTTCACAACTCAGGTATTATTATTATTATTCATTAGAGACGCTTCCCAGAAAGTTCTGGGAGGATCTACCATTCAAGATGGTAGGAGAGACGGATTCCTATTTTAAAAGGAATTTTCTCCGTGATAACGCTTTAGTTCTGCGGCCCCGAACAATTTTGGATCCAATCTAGACTATTCGAGGTCTATTGCGATGAGAATCGTTTGAAATGAGACTTTCCCCTTGTTCACCTCAGGAGCACCCCTTCGCGACGGCCGCTGCGCCGCCTCTGTCCACCGAGCTTCCAAAAGCTTGGCCGCTCTTGCACTCCCGCATGTCAGCCCTTCGCGCACTGCTCATCGGCCGAATATAAGTGCTTCCGCTCTCCTCTCTTCGGTATTCGCGATCGCCCACTCCCGAGTTCCTGAGCTTCGCTCGCTGCTCAGCGAGCTGATAGACGGCTAGTTTGCGCTCCACTTCTCGGGCTCGCTCTCGCACTGTTTAGCTTAGCTTAGCTTATTGGTAGGGAGCGCGGCCTTAGGTTTAAGCTATTTGAGTACTATGTATGCAGTGAAATAAAGCTGACACACTTAAAAAAGCCGCACTTCTTTTTTAACCTCTACGGGTTATATTTCTTTGCGACTGCGTCGCGGGAGCTATTTTTTACTCCAAAGATATTTAGCTGCAGGATTGCCCCTAAACACTTCTTAAAAAGCAATATGACAGCGTGATTCAGGAATATCTGGATCTGAGTCATATGAAAGAAGTTCCACCGTTTCTTAGTTCTCCTACCTACTATCTTCCACATCACACACATCGGGTAATTAAACCCGAGAGCACCACTACAAAGCTTCGCGCTGTATTTTATGCTTCGAGTCCGTCAGCAAATGGAACCAACTTAAATGATATTCTGGTCCAGGCCAGGTTCTGTTCCGAAATAAGAAATGATATATACGAGACTTTGAGATACAGTCACCTTCGAGTGCTTTTTCGAGTGCTGCAACAGCTAACAGAGTATGTCCAAGGGCCATTTCCAATGGCCAACCCAATTATCGATTAGCATACGTACGTCTCTGATGTTCTGATGATGTTCTTCCATAAACGAAGCCCAAACCTCAATCAATGCAAGCAGCATTTAGCTCCAAGTTCATGAGCATCATGCAGAATATTCCAGCCGAGCACCTCCTTCATAGCGAGTATTCGAAGCCATCGAAGCCGAAAGTACGGCCAACACGCTCGGTGGAGGGCAAGGTCCGATAAATTTTATTTTGTCCCACCAAAAATAGCATGTAACCCTACACCAAGCTCGAGGTGTTATCCCAAATCGCAAAGTAGTTTGATCCTGCCGGATGGCTCGGTCCGTTCATCGTACGTTCCAAAGTTTGTATGCAAGTCCTGGGCTGGGTTGATACGCTTCCTAGAGAAATTAGTCAGAATTGGCGATCGTTTCTCCTTGAGTATTCCGACCTCAGCCAGGTCCGCGTTCCGAGATTGGTCCAGTACGAGTCCAGCCCAAAATCAAAGTGGAGTACCATGGGTTCTGCGATGCGTTTCAGAAGGCCTTTGGAGCGGCTATCTACGTTCGTGTTGAGCTTGGTCATGAAACCTTTCCACGCCTTCTCATAGCGTAGACACGAGTCGCTCCCGTAAAGACAGTGGCACTTCCCAGGCTAGAGGTCTGCGGTGCTGTGCTGTTAACCGAATGGTGACATCAATGTTTCCACATATGCCGACGTCCGGATTCCACAATCGGTATGGCCTGGTAAAGAAAGCCTGCTTGCAACTGGACCACGTTTGGGGCCAACAGAGCTACCAAGGTCACGCAGGCAACACCAGTCAGTTCAATATCCGCCGATTTATCTACTCGGGATTTGTCCCAACATGACTTAGCGATGGCTCGAACCTTAATGGATGCAAGGGCCACAAGAGCTCTGCATCCGAGCACAGAGCTAGAGCAGCGTGCGGTCAAGGCACATTTCAGTAAGGCTCCCTCTGATGATTTTCTGGAGCGTTTTTTCGAAGCTGGACAAAGCAATTTAATTGCTCAATCTCGCCTACTTCACTACTCACGAGTGAGGAAATCTTTTTTTCCATGATGAATGAATATTTGGTTTTGTTTCCCAAAAAATCTTTAAGCGATCGGAAAATATCTGGTAGTTTTTTAACTCACGGAGATTGTGAGCAAACTTATTTTTTAATTTCTTTATATTTATATTTCGAGAAGTCTTTATTAGAATTAAGTTTTTCCAAACTACGGAGATTTGCCCCTAAAACAATTTTTATTTGTTCTTCATTCTCAATCTCTGTCTTAATTCGAGCGTAGAGTCGTGTTCTAGTTGTTGAGGAAGGTCCCGTGAGATTTGAGAGTCTGTCGACTAAGTCTTGTTCGGTCATAGAGATATTTGAAAAATTAATAAAAAAATTTTGGAAGATTTGATTTTACTCAGAAGTCGAAAGTTTTATTTTAGGTAATAAGATAATGATTCAAAATTTGTATTCTTATGTTGTATGGAAAATGGTACATTTGCTAAATATTCTTTTTTTTCTTTTTTAACGACGCTTAAAACTATTTTTACAGAAACAACATTTCTCGGCATGCTCTCTTGACGATAGATTTCACTGAGTGCTTTTTGCCCCACTCTTCGGCGATTTCTCTCTAGTGTGTGTCTATTTGGGGGATCCTCTTTACTTTTATCACGTTTTCTTGGAACGGCTACTAAAGGGTTCTCGGCGAGAACAGTCTGGTCGTTCTTTCAGGTGAAAGTCTTTTAATAGGAGTAGCGACACTTTTCGCTCTTCCGGTTTGCGGTGTTTGGTTTTCACTCTTTAATTTTTGTCGTTTGTAATTACAATTGCATTAATTTCCCAATTGACAAATGCCCTAGATAAGTTCACGTCCAGCTGAAACTGCATCTTTTTTGGCTAGTGGTAATGGAAATTCTTGTTAAGACGTTTCCTAAGTTGGTAGTAAATTGAACTCGGGTTGTTCACCCAGTTACGCATGTATTGCGCTTGTATTTTCTTAGCTAGTGATTGTGGTAACTAAGACGTAACTTTTGTATAAATATTGCTCCATAACCGATTAAGCTGGATCTGAGTGCAGTTTTATTTCATTTTAAGGGTTAAATATAGCTAACACTGGTTCTAAACCTACAAATTGTCTTAATTGCATTACTGACTAAGGTGTTTGCAGGTTTGGTAGCTCACTTATTTTGTGTTAGTTTAGCTGAATTTGTCCGTTACAGACTTCACTTCACTTCTGATTTTTAGGCCATAATCAAAATATCGTCGATTTATACGTTGGCTTATGTGAATAAAACATTGCCTAATGCTTTATTTTTAGCTCGCGGGAAGACCGATGGATTGTTCTTTAAACCAAAAGGCATGGCCAAAAATTCGTATTGCCTTCCCGCAGTGACAAAGTGACAATTAAATCCGGATGTATCGGAATTCGGTTCACGTATCCTCGTAATTAGGTCTGAAAGAAAAGGCAGTGTTCAGTGTGGCGAGGAAATCAACGCAAAGGCGATCACTACCATTTTTATTTTTGACTAACATCATTGGACTAGCAAACGGTGAACAGTTAGGATGAATCATGTTGTATTTCAAAAGATCAAGGCCTTGCGAAAATCCTCCAGCTAAACCCTGTCCTGGCTGGGCAATGAACACAGTATTACCCCGTACAATGGTAATGGAGTGGCGCATGCTCTGTCCGGTGTAATGCAGTGTCTATCTAAATCTGCTTAAAAGACGGAGGAAATGAATCACTAGCCATGGCTGAAGGTGCCTGGCGGCAAGTATAAAACGCAAGTGGGTGGTTCCCCTGAAACAAACCAGGTTTTGCAGAAAATGGAGATAAAGGAAGTAACAGGTGCTGGGATGTCAGCCCAAACGTCGGTGGAAGGCGTGACTGCTACCACTAGCAGGCACTGAGGGAAGCAATCCTCTCTGCGTGTTGCTAGTGGTCACACCGCTGATTTAACGGGAGCAGGTCACGTCAGCTGTAACGCTACTACCAGAAAAACGACGCAAAGAAGGCTAAGCCGCACGGGTAACGTTGTCTATACAGAATACGACCTCGGGAGCGTGCAGCTTTCAATAGAGGAGGTCGAACGCCTTCATCGCTCGCCCTAACCAGGTACCAGTTCCCCGCGCAAGGAAGGGGACGACGCGTGAGAGCGAGGGAAAGTAAGCAAAGGCGCAGCATAAAGGTGCCCTCCGCATCCAGAGTCAACTTCAGAAAAACTGCCCTATCCGAAGAGGAGAAGGTAAAGCTCACCTGGGCCGAGCAAATGATAGAAGAGAGCACACTGCACTTCGCCAAGCTTCCCAATATGGTATCAACGGGCGGTTGATCCACAAGGTGGAGGATATGCAACGCTCCGCCGAGAGTGCCATAAAAGAACTCCGGGCAGCAAGCGGTAACACGTGCCAGAGAAAGCAGGCTCCCCCGAAGTCGAAGAAACCCAAATACAAGGAAACGAAAATCGCGAGGATCAGAGAGTTGACCAAACGACACTTGATCGTGGCACTTATTGACAGGAGCGATGAGAATGCCAAGATGACCGAGGCGCGGTGGAAGACGTTGCATACGCGGCTCGTTGAGTCATTGATTGCACGGATGGAGAAAGACCCTATAGCGCCTATGCCCACATTTGATGGTGCCGGGTAGCTGAGTGTGGTCAAAATCGTAAAGTGTATGAATGACCCGACGAGGAAGTGGCTGACGCAAACGGTCGGCCAGATGGAAGCGCTGTAGGACGGACCCAAGCTGGAGGTGTTGGACAGGGAACTAATCCCATCCATCCCAAAAGCGAAGGTACTCCTCCCCATTGCTATTCAAGGGGACCGAGCGCTGAAGCTGCTGCAACGTCAGAATCCGGACATCCCAACCGCAGACTAGAAGGTACTGCACATCAAGAGCCCGTTACCCAAAGAGGGAGGCCAGATAAAAAAGGAGACGGAGGACATCCTGTATCTCAGATACGGGAAGATGGCGTGGGCCATGGGTAGCGTATACCTGCGCCTCAACAAGCGCTCACACCCTGAAGGCAGGCGTGATGGAGGTCTGGAAACCATCGTCGATGCCGCCCATGAACTGACGATGGCTGAGTCCGAAGAGAAGGAAGACGGTGACATGACAATTGTATTCAACCCGTTGAGTAGAGTTGAGCTCGGTACCCATGTCCCTCAGGGTGCTGCAGCTTAATCTCCATAAGGGCAAGCTCGCGTCGGCGGAAGCAAACGATAGGCCAGCTCCACCAGGAGCCTGGTAGAAACCAGCCCAAAGGATCAACAACTGCTCGTGGGTGCAAGTAACAACGCGCACCACAGCGTGTGGGGGAGCCCTCAAATAAACGACAGAGGTGAGTCACTTTTAGACTTTATACTTCCAACTTATTTATATATAGTAAACGTGGGGAAGGAACACACCTTTGTAGGCCCTACCTTGTCCAACGTGCTAGATTTAACTCTCGAAGCAGGACAAAGCACTATGGTATTAGATTGAAAAGTCCTTGAGAGACCATCCTTCTCAGACCAGTACATACAGTTCAAATACGAATTCGATCACACAAACTAACCGTCATAAGAAACCCCAGGAACACTAAATGGAAAAAGTTCAAAGAAACAACCCCTATTAATAACGCAACTTCTCTGGGAACAGTAAAATACGATGAAGATATAGAAAAGTCTATAGTGACCCTCTTAGAGGAATTAGGACCAGACCACCCTGGTGGAACAGAGACCTTTCGCTCCAACGCGATAACCTCAGAGAATTCTTCAAACTCGCCAAGCAGGCGAAGGATGATATAATCAAATAGGAATAAAAAATACTGTAAAATAATTACAAGAAGGAAATACTCTTGGTGCAAAGAAGAAAAGACGAGCTTTTGGACCTATTCATCACAAACGATGTGTTCAGATTAATGTCAAACAACCAGAATGCACACTCAAAATAGAAATCAGTGGAGACGGCGCTACACTCCTTTAAATCAACCATTGAGAGATCCCTGCACAACAAAGAATGTGCGCTCAGAGTCTTTGTTGACATATCCGGGGCATTCAATAATGTAAACACATACGCAATAATAGAGCGCCTAGGAACGACCGACACGCACCTCGCCATCAACTTTTGGATTGGAAATCTATTAGGTTGTCGACGGGTATAATCGGACTGGGGAGGTCGACGACCTATCCAGAAGGTTTGACAGGAAGGCCCCGAAGAAAACAGACTGTACTGACGACATAAGCATAAATATCACGGGAGTATGTCCATTGACCCTTAGCTCGATCATGGAATCAACACTCAGGGAGATACGTGAGTGGACTGACAAGGTAGGACTCAGTGTCAATGCGGATAAGATGGACCTCATTCTCTTCACTAAGAGTTACAAGGTACCGCCATGGGTCTCCTCAAAAATAAATACAGCCAGGCTGACCTCGAAAACACAAGTCAAATAGATTGGCTACTAGAGTGGGTGAAAAAGGCCACCATTGCGCTATATGCATCCAAGAAGATGCTCAGCCACACAAGGGGTCCCTCGCTCGCACTTATGCACTGGGTCTGTGTGTGTGGTGGCAAGCCATGGAAAAGGAGAAATACATAAAGCTTATGTAGAGAACCCAGCGGCAGGCACTGCTCTGCATATCTGGGGCGCTGAGGTCAACCCCCACAAAAGCACTAGAGGCCATATTTGGAATTAATCCCATAGATATCAACTAGCAACAGACTACGGGAAGGGCATTGCGGATCTATTGGGTTCCCAGCCACCAGGGCATTGATGAGAACGAAACTGCAGACGAACTTACAAAGGAAGGAGTCGGACTGGCTAACGATAGAGTAGAAAACGTCCCAGTCTTTCTAAGAACGCTCCAAATCGAGTTGAAGAGGCAGGCGGACTCACATGCAAAAATCAGATGGAGAAGAAACTCTGCAACCGGCAAAGCATACAAAATAATGTGCAAATAGAGCAATGCTAAACTCAACTACTACGTACTGCACCTATCCCGAATAGATTGCAGACTGTTGGTGTAAATTCTTACAGGTCACTGCCTAGCTGCCGCGCATGTGCTCAAGCTGGGCATCACCAATCTAAGGCAACCTAAACCTTGGAGCATCTCATCTGTAAGTGCCCAGCCCTAATGCAGGCAAGAGTAAAACACCAGGTGCCCCAGCATCACTACCAGATACCTCCAAGTATCAAGCCAGCTGAACTACTTGCGTTCGCAAAAACTACCGCGATCCCAAAGGATTTCAACACCGCATAACAATCTCCAGGTCCATGTGATAACAACATCCAAATAAATAAGGGCCATACTGGCCCTCTCAGGAGGGCCGTCGGGTTCAGCCTAACCTAACCTAAACGCTCATCAATGTTATCACGAACATGTTCTTTCCCTTGACCTTTGTGCCCCACTTGAGAGCATAGAAAAGCAGTCGATCTGCTATCGGCCATACGAGCTTTTATGCTAGAGTCGGCGTAGATTTCGTTAAAGACGAAAGTTTTTTGGCCGTTTTGAACTCGCCTCCGCGATATGCCCTGGCCGATGTTTCGTTGTTAATTTGAGCCCTACCTCGACGGTTAAATATGGCCACAAAGGAGAATTTTCAAACCCAAAATTCGATCCAGCATTAGCAGAAAAAATCGGAGAAAATTAGAGTAAGACAGGGTAGAAAAATCAGTTAGGTTAATTACGAACAGCTACAAATGATAATAATAAAAGTAACTTATATATAAAAAATTATTTTGAGGCAAAGAGGATAGTCAATTCGTTGCGTTCCTAACAATTTAAAAAAAATCTGGCTAAATCAGATCTCGATTAAACAACTGCCTGTAATATTTTTGTGAGTGTAGCGATTCGTTACAAAGCATATTTGCTATAACCATTGTGATTAGCTATTCTACTTTACCAAACCTTCCATCTGGTGACGGTCTTGAAGTCTGTATAGATTTTATGGTGTCCATTAGGTAGCGATTATGCAATCTGTAATTATAGGCGAATCCAGTACCATTTCTGATATCGGGGGGCCCTCCATTGTAGGATTGGAACACAGATAGTTCTGTTCGTCTTCCCTGCTGAGGGTGCGCAATTCATAGCTGAATTTACATCAGAATGTGTAGAATTTTTACTAACTCTCCAACAAATATAGGTTGTTATTTTTGTTGTTGTTAACCGATTTCTCTTGGCTTGCTTTTGCATAGATCTGGTGGACACGCTGTATTTAGACCTGTAATTAACGCGATTCTTATTTCAGAGCTGCTGAACATTTTATCATATTTTCTGGTACACTGCCTGTCAACGTCAACGAGGCACTGACATCGCCCGCCATGCTGTCTTCGGATAACAATTAGAATTCCCATCATGTGTTACCTCCGTCGGCAACAATTTCAGCATCGTCAAAGAAAAGTCCCGGACCACAACATAGTGATTTCTACAGTTACGCAAAAGATAACGGCGCCTCAAACAATGTTGCCGCCCCAATTCAGGTGCTTTGGAAAATGATGTTGAGACCCATTATAGTATCAAATTGAATGTTTCTTACATATCTTCGTTTAAAATGTCACTTCTAAACACGCAATTGTTTATAAATTCGTACAAAAATCTGATTCTCGGGCATTAGGGCCGCCTCAATTCAGGTGCTTTGGAAAATGATGTTGAGACCCATTATAGTATCAAATTGAATGTTTCTTACATATCTTCGTTTCAAATGTCACTTCTAAACACGCAATTGTTTATAAATTCGTACAAAAATCCGATTCTCGGGCATTAGGGCCTTAAACTAAACGATTTATACTTCCAACATTATCAAAATGTTCAAAGTTTACTATTCAATTTCAGTAAACTTCACGTCACTTGTGTCTCCTTCGATTCTAATCTAATTGCGTTCACTGAAACCCTGCTTAACTCCTCTGTCTCTATATATCTGATATTTGTTGTTGCTCGTACTCAATTTATGATAATTTGTTTTATATCTTCCCAGGGCCAGGCTACCCTCGGCTGAAATATACCCTGCCGCTGCTTAGGGGCGAAGCTGCGGTCGACATTTTTCACAATCGAAGGCGAGCAAGGGTTAATAGAGCTCTCTTTGTTCTCGGCAAGATAGCTTAGAATGAGGCTGAGGGCAAGAGCTACCCTAGGGACGACGAAGATAAAGCAATTCCTTGCGGAGATCGCGGAATATAAGGCCTACAAAGCGGCGAACCCGTCGGCACTCCAGACCTCAAAAGCAAAGGGCAATCGGCTACAGGAAGTGAGCGAGAGCGCACCTAAGAGGGCGAAGGACCCACAAGGGAAGCCAAGAGCGACAAACCTTGTTAGCAGGTCAAAAAAGTTCAGCGAGGTGGCCAGAGACAGTCTGGCTAGGGCTCGGATGGATGAGCATGGTTAGCATTGTGACCGGCCCCATCCCCTCCTTCGACTCGTCAGACCTGGTCAGGGGACACCGGGTAATTAGGTGCGAGGCCTTCCTGGCCGAGCCGGTCGGGGAACAGGAGGAGGTCGATGACACCAACAAACTGTTGGACGACATGGTCATCGACGACTAATTCACTGACACCACCCCAACAAACATTGATGTCGAAAATCGTGGAGATTAACCTGCACGCTTCAGCGAATCTCACGATCCTTCTGAGAGAGAGGGATATTAATATCGGTATGGTACATGAGCCTGGGATCAGGGACGGGCAAATCGCTGGACTAAGGATCCCATGATACACACTACTGTGTACAAACTCGAATGGTAGGTCGAGAGCATGAATAGTAATTACGGACCTCTTTAATGTCTATCTCTCTCCCAATCTCATCACTCCTGACCTAGCTGTGGCCAGATTCGTTTCATCAGATGGGTGAGGAGTATTGATCGCATCGGCATACATGGCCAGTACTCAAGCTGCTGCAAAGGGCCAAAGAAACAAAGACGACTCTGTTGCTCGGGTGCGATCCGAATACGAGGCACACGCTCTGGGTGAAGTGAGTCACTTTTTAAAAATATTATATGCAGCAACTTTACCAACCAACCTTAATTTTGCACCAAAAATTTTCAAGGGTGGGAAGAGGTTCTAGATCTCAGTTTTCAAACCGAACACGATACAAAGTCAAATCGACACAACACTCCTTATCAGATCATACATTTTCTTCAACCTAACGTCATCGTTAAGTAAACAGGTACTAAGAAAAAACCACCGAAAGACAGATTGGAACAAATCCGGCGAAATTGTTCAATCTAAAGTAAACGGCATGAGGATTAAGATACAATCATCCTCAAGGACAAGGGGATGGAGTACCTCACGTACATCCCAAAGATACGTATATCGTGATGCGTGATATTCTCGAAGAAAGAGTACCCACCGTGGTGGAAAAAAGTACTGAGCGATCTCAGGAGGAGGCGTGAAAAGCTTTCAATGCACCAACGAAAGACACTATTACCACGGAGCAAATTCAGTGGGCTATAGATTCTTTTGAAAAATACAAAAGCCAGGGCCCGAACGGCATAATACCGGCAATGTAATAATCAGCCAAGAAAAGCATCTGTAGATAGCTAAAAGCTAATTACGAAGCTTGTATAAGACTGAAGCATATCCCGATTTTGTGGGGGAAAGCTAAAGTGATCTTCATACCGAAACCAAGACCGATAGGTCCCACCACCGACGCCTTGAAGCCACTAGAGAGACTCCTGGACGACCACATCCGGGAGAGACTACATGAAAACCGACAGTCGGATGAGCAGCACGTGTACCGGAATGGCAAGTCGACAGAAACAGCATAACACGAAGTTGTTCATCATGTCGAGACACTACGACAAGAGCAATACACGATAGGTGTAGGCTTCCTAGACATGGAAGGCGCGTTCAATAACGTAAACGCCGACTCTATTCGGTGCTCCTTCATCTTGTTAGGTGTTGAAGATGGCATCAGAGAGTCGATCCGGGTTATGCTTAAAACCAGGACGATCACAGCCGAACTGAATGGCACTCACCTCACCCGGAGAGTGAAGCGAGGCTCACCTCAGGGCGGCGAATGCCATATTGGTAAAGCTCAATATGAGTGGTGTCAAAGCAGTGTCTTACGCAGATTACGTGGTACTCCTAGAATCAGGACACTATCCTGATTTTATCAGAGGAATAATGACAGGTGCGCAGGGTCACTTAAATAAATGGGCAAAAGACTGCGGACTAGGAACCCACCAACTAGGTATCAACCCCACTAAAAAAAAACATTCTATTCACAAGAAGTACCAAGATACCAGCTTTCATGGCATGGAGTTAAAACTAGCGGAGCAGGCTAAGTATCTAGGAGGGATACTAGACTCTCATGGAAAAAACAAATCGGAAAGAGCTGGAAAGGTAAGTATTGCTTCCTACTCCTGCAGGAAAATGTTTGGAGACAAATGGGGAATACACCCCATTAGCTCCACACAGCAGTGGTACTACTATTACTAACTTACGGGGCCCTATTATGGTGACCGGCACTAACTAGGGCATACAACAGATCGTACACGGATATAACGAGCAGCGAGTGCGGGGACCATGGGAGCAATGGGCTTATACCCCGCGGCTCAGCTTAATGCTATTCTGAATATGATGCAAATAGTACTGTTCGTAAAGGACATTGCAGCGCAGAGCGCATGAAGACTGAAAGCAAGCAATTGCTGAAAGGAATACGGCGCTAGGCACGGCAAGATCCTTGAAAGCATTATAACGAACGAACGGACTACATGACGCGGAGTTGAATTTCGGGAACGCATTCTAGACCTCATACCCATAAATGGCAGAGCAGACAGAGTGGCCGTAGAAAATGAAGTATCCCTCTACACCGATGGTTACAAGATGAGCTGTGGCGTAGGGATCTACGCTGAGAATTGGGACTCTGTGACGGTCTTTCTACTCGGATAGCCAAGCGGCTATCAACTCCGTAGCAGCCGTGAAACCCATCTAACGGCCAGTGGCAGAATGCCAGAAGCCCCTTAATAAACTTGCTGAGAACAATGAGGTTCAAGTTACCTGGATACCGGGACAAAACGAGATCCCGGTGAATGAAAAGGCAGACGAACTAGCCAGTAAGAAAGAGCGAGTACAGAAGGTCAAAGGAATGTTGGCCAAAACCCGACAAAAAACGAACCAGAGAACTGTTATCCACCATCAAACGGGATATCAGCAGGATCACGGCAATTAATATGTGACTGCCGCACAATCCTATCTGTAGAAGCTGCAAGTAAACTACAGAGAAAGAGACACCGGAACATCGGATTTTCTTCTCCCCAGTGCTATACCTCACCAGACTTCGCCACTTTGGTACCAACCAGATGGAGTCACTGGTATGCAAAGAAAAGCTGAGGCATCGGCAATTCTAGTCTTCCTTACTGGCTCAGGATTGTACTAAAAGTGATCGAGACTACAAATAGTCAACAGAAGGAGTGGAACAAAAAGGAGCTTAGCTCTAATTGGAGACTCTAGTTTTGGCCCTCACCACTTTAACCTACATACCTATCCTTAATCCTGGGCATTTATTTGACTCTCTGCGACCATCTAATTGCTTTCTGTGGCTTTAACGTACATTTTGTGTTTAAGTCCTAATTCTGGTTATCGCTCTTCGGCTTTGAGACGGTGGAGTTTTCTTATTATTACTGAGGCCAGAATTTAGCGAGCTAGCGATAAAAGAGAATTATTTTAAGCTTCAAAAGGGTTTCTTTATTTATAATAATTTTGGGAGAGAATCCGGCTTACTTACTTCAACAAAGGAATATAAACATAACAATGTTGCTGGTTATACAAATCAGTCAGGTTAATCCAACTATGAAGATCGATGGCGTGGCGTGGTTTATTGAAAATGAATTTAGCAATCTCTAGCTTTTATTATAGAAAATACGAAATCTCATTTTCAATTCAGAAAGGCTTTCAAAAACAATTCGTATCTGAGTTTCAGCAGTGCAAATTTATGCCACTTGGACTTTATATTTTTAATGTAAATGATTCTCTACTTTGAAGCACATGCATATTCATGATTTAAACAAAGGCGAAAATAAACAAAAATTGAGGTTAACTCAAAGGCGAAGGCAACAAATACAAAAGTTTGATTGCCAAAAGAGAGATTGCAGCTTGATCAACTTCGAGAAAATATTTTATTTGCAGTCGTTATTGGAGCCGCTACAATTGGATGC